CTAGCTTCTACAATAGGGAACAGGCTGGCGCTGCGGCAGACCCAGCCCCTTGAAACGCCCCTCGTACGCAGCGAACAACTTTGTACAAAGCGTATTTTCCAAACATTTTGCTCTAATCAGTTGCAGTTAGTGAGTTGTTCAGCGATTCGAGCCGACGTTCTTTTTTACCAGGGTAACTTCGCTGACTCGTGGTGCTCTTCTGTTTGGATCTTTCCTGTCGTATGCGATTTCTCAGCTCATTATTGTCTTGAAATGGGGGACGTACCAAACACTGAATATTATATCGCTGGTATTTCTCTGTATTTCTTTCTTTTTCGCTGTTGCCTTGCCTTATGTTCCATGGAAGGACGCGTATGAGAAGAAACGGCTACTGAAAGGTAGGTTTTACCTGAACTCCGTGGGTAGATATTAATTAGTCGCAGATAGTAAATGATGGGGGGGATGCATTTCGACGGCACTTTGTGCGAAACTGAGACTGCAGTTGTACAGCTGAGGACTTCCGTCCATACCCGAGAGGATGGAAATCCTGGGCCGGTGAACCGGCATGTGAAGGGAAAGGGTATTGCAGGTATCGCATTACGGCATTCCCAGTTTTGCACAAGGGTTCTGTCAAATGCCTGCTGCGGTTTGTATCATGTTGTCTATCGATACATACAATGGGCTTTGAGAACCAAAGCTTTCTGAAGCTCTGATTCGGCGTAGGTTCCAGACGCTGCTAAGCTCCCAGACGACGAGGTTACTTACAAGAAATACGTGGTATTTCACTTTCCAAACGTTTGTAGAGGACCTCAGAAGAATCTACGGTAATTCATTCATGCTGAAATGGTCACTTTGGTGGGCATTAGCGAGCTGCGGGTACTTTCAGGTGAGCTGACGCTTTTTGTTGTTAGGCAGTGTTCAGACTTCGCGATGCTCGCTGACGCGCCACCACTGCAGGGGCGCCCCAATGCTGCAGACTCGATCACAGACACGAATCGTCAAGTGCCGACCGCTAGTGTCTTGACAGAACGGGGAAAAGGAGGGTTGGCGTTGCCTTTTCACACTCTGGTATCGGGCGCCCTTGCAGTGGCCGCTCGTCAACGCGCGTTACAGCCGTTCCTCGTCGCATAGTCTGAATGCTGCCCTAGACGTTGACCAGTGTCCAAATTCTCTGGTACACTGCTTTAATAATTTTAGGTGGGCAACTATGTTCAAACTCTTTGGGGAACACTTATCAAGCCAGATTCGTCGGACGTTTTCAACGGACTCACTGAGGCTTTGTGTCCACTTGTATGTATGTATTTCAGACAATACCTACGAAAATACAAACAAATCATGACTGTTAGCTTCCACTGATCTGCTGTTTCAACTGAAATGTCTGGTCTGATTTTAGCCCTCCCGGCAGTGCTTCTTGTGCAGCACCTCCGAGTGGACTGGTCCCGATGGGGCGAACTGTGTCTAGCAGGTTGTGCGTTACTGAATGGCCTACTACTTCTGCTGTTGTCACAGACAAATACGCCTGCCTCTTAGTGGATGTTATGCTGGCAGAATTGGCTACAGGCCCAATAATAATGAAAGTCAAATGATTAACCAAAATGCAACCGCACAAAGTAAGTTTCACTAATACCAGAGCGGTTGAAAAGTGCAAGACATTACGCCAAAGAAGAAATTTCACGTTTGTGAAGGATCTAAATTAATGAACAGAAAGGGCCTTGAGACGGCTTCGTACGGGCTCGTATTCGGTATGAACACCTTCATCGCACTGGTACTGCAATCGCTTCTCACGCTCGTCGTGGTTTCCTCCGTTGGCTTCGCGTTAGCCATACGACCACAGGTTCGTTCCTACGATACGATCCTTGACTCTCTCGACTCCATTGCTGCTCCTGCTCTGCTCTCTCATAGCCCCATCGTCAGAGTCTTACACCCAGTCCACATCTGGCTGTAAAAAGGGGAATTTTCAAGTACGTAGCTGCGAGCGCGGCGACGGCTAGAGAGTCCAGACGGGAAAGAGGCAGAGACATATGTATTGCATAAGAGAGAAGAGTCATCGGCAAGGGGATAGGCGGCTTTTTCGTGCCAACACCGTTTTTGCTCTCCGATGGGGAATGCATAAATCAGCTATCAAGCATGTGTGCACTATCCGTACCCTGTATATGGGGGGGGGCATGACCTGCCTGCTTCAGACAACTTCGAAACAACTGTCATCTTGTCTTGTGCTGGACAAAGATATGATTACAAATGGCCTAAACCGCTGCATCCCATCGGAGTGTCAGGTGCAGGCGTGCTTATGTGGTTTTGGCGCTGCGCCAGTCCATATCCATCGATAGCAGCCAGCCTCAAACTGGCAACGACTGATGGAAACGCCCAGTGTAGAAATTGCGCCAAAACGTACATACCCGATGCTCATTTATGCACCGCACACCCCTTGTTACATGAGTCCAAGTTAGGTCGCCTGACGAGAAGCAGGTTCCTCAAGTGCCGTGCTGAGCACACTGCGAACCAACCGAGCTCGTCCTCCATAGCCCCTTCTACCATAGAGACCTACATTCTTTTCAGTTCTTGGTATATTCTGGCTACCATTTCGTGGTCGCCTCGCTATTCGTCATACCAATTCTTCTTCGACTTTATCGGTATTTGAGAGTAAGACTATGTCAGAAAGACGGAAAGGTTTGTTTGAATGTTTCCTTGGTGTTAAGTTGAATATTGGGAAGAAAATTCGCAGGCTCCCTTCAAAAAATGAGCGAATGGAAGGGCTTCAAGAGGGTGTTTGGCCACATCCCACTCATCCCTACTACCAGTGACGCCGCCCCCAACCACTGTGCCTCTGCCCTCGATGTCAGTGTCGCCGCTACGGAAACTTGTTTGTACTTACTGTGTATTGTTGATATCTCGCAATTTGACGAGGCGGGATCAAGTGGAGTGGAATGAGCTCACACGCAGGTGCGTTTTCGACGCTGTTTGTCCTAGAGAGGTGAGGTAGGGGGGGGGGCGGGGTGTTCACCACCTCCTGCTAGCTGCTGCTAGCTGCTCTTACATAGCCTAATAATAATTTGCAGCTATCCACAAGGAAAACCGGCTATGATCTTTGGGTGCCAGCAGCATGCCTCTACCAAGCCGAACCGTGCCGTCCTTGTCTGGGTCGATTCGCGTAAATAGGAACCTTACCAATAAATGGTAAAAGCATCGTGGATGGGCACATTGACACATCTGATACCGCCCCTCCCCCCTCACCGGCAAGATCAGCTTTGTGACTGCCCCGACATCCCGGCGAACAAGCAGTAGGCCAGGTCAAAAGTAGTGCGTATCGCAACAAAAATCCGCCAAAATTGGCTTTCTTAACACGGGACGCCGAAATAACTTTTCTGAAACTTCGTTTGAAGGTTAGAAAGACTTACGACATTTTGCATAGGCAGTGGAAAGGGGGAGGGAGGAAGAACTGTTTCTTTACTGGTCAGCCGAGACCTTCCCCAACAGGGATTACCACAGATAATATCGTCGCAAGCAGTCGGTAAGGTGTCAAGAAAGATGGAATGAGCCCACCCGCCATAGAGTAGAAAACAACCGGATGTGGGCTTACTCCACCTCTCTTGACTCCGCCCTGACTGATTGTGACGATATTAACAATATGTGTTGTCCCACCGTGCATGCATCTGTAACGATTGCAGCAACAATCAACGCCGGTACATAGGCGTTCAGAGGATGCGACGCGGTACTAACCGGACACAATGCAAACGCAGTGAATCTTTTCCAGTCATGGTATGCATATCTACACGAGAATTTATTTGACATAATACTCACTGTAAAAAGCCCGTTGGGTTTCGTAATTTTAGTATTTTTTTAGAGCATTGTTTGAGCGGTACATTCGTCCCACTTGTTCTAATAAACATATGGAAAAGAAAGACAGTCGTTAAACCTCACATTCAATTCAGATTTTCGCCTATATTTCCGGTGCCGGTTTCGCACGTACATTCTCATAGTTCTTAATGCTGACATCCGGGAGGATTCATGTCCAAGTTGAAATTATTCAGAATGCGCTGACTACCTTAGGGGAAAAAAGGTGGGGGAGGGGTGGCACTACTGCAAGCGCTTGTCAGCATATTAAATCCAGCAAAGTGTATACAGGACTAATACCGGACAACCCTGTAAGTACCTGTAAACCTTGTTATCACCTCAAGCACCCTGTCAATCCTTGTTAAGCTTAGCAAGTTGGAAGTCACTGAAACGTCACTTTCCCTGTTTTTCTGAAATCTTGACCAGTCATTCTGACAAAACAGGAGTTCACAAGCTGCTTTGCAGGTAAGAACAAGGCATAAAGGGTGTCAACAAGGCTCTCCGGTGTTTACATGCACTAGAGCTACCAGGTGTGACCCCCCTCCCCAACTTCGTGGCTAATGCGCGCTAAATGGTGCTACTGCACCTTTTCCATCTGAGTATTTTGTCCACCATGATGAGCAAGGATAACGCGATATGCTAGGGTAGCATCTAACACGATATGACACCAATTATGTAGTCAACCTTTTTTTTATTATAATTACAAAGAAGCCGTAGAGAATAGTCCGCGACTACAGTACATACTACAGTATTACTTGCAGCCCTTGACTCCGTACTCAGAAACGTCTTTCTCGAAATAGTGAAGGTGGTCTTTTATGGAGGTGTCGGCTAGATTGCCATCCGAACAGAAGGTGCTTTCTCCCATATCGTAGCATACGTAATAGTGAGCACCTACGGCCATTCCTTTTTTGTAGAACGCCTAAAATGACGTGGATTAGGTGGAAGTAGCATCAGACCGCAGCTTCTGCCCATGGACAGAAGGAGAGAACTGCCGTTGCCATATTTCCCAGCTAAAGACAACGCTCGTAGAGGGGTGTATGTCGTTCGGCGCGGCCGGATTGCCATTGGGGGGCATCGGCAGTAATTGACACCCTCAGTCCGCTGATGCGATGCGTGTCGTGTACAGGGCAACTCGTCCACGTTTGTTAATAACTTGATCGGCTACTTGATCGACCTACGCTGGCACTGCGCCAACATAGACGACCGATTGCGTGCGAATCTCCTACTTAACCATTTTCGTCGGTTTTTGAGCAATTTTTGCCCTCTTTTGCCCGACATTTCTTGTGCTGGGTAGGTCGGAATGCCAATGGCAACTCGCAGGTGTGTAAGTGTAAGAGGGTCATCAATCGAGGTAAAGTATAAAAAAGGCTGTAGCTCAGCAATTCTCAGGCTCATGGGAGAGGTGAAATAAACTCCCTTGGCCTAGGTAAAAGGCTGTTTTTACGAAAATTTAAACGAGAAATGCAACCTACCATCCGATATTAGCTGGCTTCAAGTGGTGAATCTTTTAAAAAAGGTTAGTTTACCCCTTGGGCACGCTCATTTTGGGGATAGAGCTGTAGCCACATATACTGGTGACAAAAAATTTTGGCCAGCTGGGTGAAACAGTGAAGGGTAGACTGAAGTGTACCATTCATTGTCTACTGAAAGCTGCTTTGAAGTAAGATATATCAGAACTCAAAAGTGCTCCTGATATAACCACTTCTAAGTAGCTAAGCAGCATAAGTAAGGGATGTCGAGGCGAAAGAGAGCAAATCAGGATGGTGAATAACCCTTGTGTACATATTTTCAGCGGGTTTGGCGACTTAGGTAATTTAAAAATGAGCTCGGTGCCGAAGTTGCTGGAGTCCAAACGGCATTAGCCAAATGGTTGAGTAGGAGATTCGGACGCAATCGGTCGTCTATGTTGGCGCACTGCCAACGTAGGTGGATCAAGACGTCAACCAAGACATTAATAAACGTGGACGAGTTGTCCGACCCACGAAACGCGTCGCATCGGCAGGGTGGTGGGTGGCAATTACAGCCGATGCGCCCCAATGGCAATCCGGCCGCGCCGAACGACCGGCTCCCCTCGTAGAGAAGAGGCTATCAAGTGTCAATTACCTCAGTTTTATGATGGTAGTAGCCCTCCATGTTCTCCAGCGGTAGATGCGGAACTGAGTCGTGGGAATGCGTCACTCGGAAGGCGTATGGAACCTGCAACGAACACACTAAAGTGTTGGCGAAATGGCTTGTGGAACAGTTTATGTCGCCCATGGTGAAAAGATTTACGGAATATTTCAAAGCGACAACTTCTCAACATGCGTCACAGTACTCACCGCCAAACCCTCGTTTACTGTCACCCTTCTCGGGATGAGAAGGTATTCGCCCACTATGTATTGTCGTCAAGCTCCATGAAGACCTACTGAAGACCAGTACCCAGCATTTCTTTGCAAGTCTCTCTAATGAACGAGCCCCAGCACGAGCCCCTAAAACCCAATTTCCCATTCTTCCTTCAAGAACTGCCGTCAAGCAAGGGGGGGGTGAGAGTATGGAGCTCGTCACTGAGCAACCACTGATTCCTACTATCGGAATTAGTACCTGTATACGTGGTACTT